AAAGTGGTACATTCGATTCCAAGATTTCAAAAATATTTTAATTCAAAAATTTGTTCACTGGTGCCATCGAATAACTCATTCCTGTGAATTTGCCAAAATCTAATAAAAATAGCAAAAAAAGAATTACCTTATAATTACCATTTACGCCACCATTTCGCACCATTTTTGGTGGAGGTACATCGATCACTGTTTCGCAGCCCTCCGGTATATATTCCTTGTCGTACCGAGGTGAATGTCGACCGCTCGTCATAGTTCCAGCTCTTGAAATTCTTTCGAAAGTATTAAGGAAGGACTGAACGTATTAAAGGAATTGCAGAAATCTTCGGATGATGAGTTACAGCTAGTGAGACCATAGGCAGCTCCAGGGCGGTCTCTAGGGGTGAGGCGATGAGGGAGCGGGAGAAGAAGGGAGGGAGACGACGTGGGACCCCCCTAACCCTGGAACTATAGAAACTAGGAACAGAGTTGAAAGACCGCTACTTAGAGTTACTTTAAACTTTAGTTTTAGTTTTAACTTTAGATCCGGGCTTCTGCAACATTGGTACCTGTGCCACTGGAGAAAGGGACGAGAGACCCTTCCAGCGAGGTAAATTTCTTCAGGATAATGTAAGGATACTGACGCATAAAAAGTATAAAAAATTTAAAAACAGTCATATGAATAAAGATGTTTCGGTCCAGCAAGTCGTATACATTCCTGTTCAGCACCACAACTGGACTTCGTCAGTATGACGGCCGAAGTGTTGACAAACTAAGAACATCAGTTAAAGCAGTCTTCGGCCTATGCGACAACTTTTTCAGAGACTGTTTTTTGCCGGCACGAAATTAATTTTCTTATACTTAAAAAATTTGGCCCAACAGTAATTTACGGAATTCCCCAACTGTGCAAATGACAACTTTTCCAACTGCTTTGTCCAGTGCTGCGTGGCTTATCGGTCAGTCCGCTGGTCATCCCGATGTCCGTTTCGTTTCCCCAGGAAATAAATTACCTACTTCAGGGAGTGGAAAAAGCGAAGATAGGAATTTCAATTCCTGCACTGTGCTTCCGATGCATACACTTTGAACAACAAAACTTTGTAGCTGTTCTGTTTTCGAATAAATTAATTCACAGACAAATCTACACAACGATGAAAAAAAAAAAATTACATATAACAAAAGAACTTTAATAAAACTATCACCAAGGCCATAGGTCAAATTCACACAATGACCAACGGTCAGAACAATGCAAAATATTAAAAAGCAGACAAAAATGAGCAAAAACCTCATATTTTATGTAATTTTTAGCGTCTCGTTGATCGGGAAAAAAACCCTTTTTTAAACAGGTGATTGGAAATTTTCATATATTTGATGAGGGATATGGCCATGAACCGTCCTGCTTGCTTATAAGATAGACTTAACCATAATTGTCAAACTATCTGTGCAGCTTAAAATCCGAAATAAATCGCTAAGAAAGCCCCGAACAGCTGGCACACATACATCGAACAAGCGGTAAATGCCAGTCAACAAAACAGGACAAGGATAGGAGGAGCAGGGACGGGGTAGGGGGCAGGAGGAGGAGAAGGGGAGAGGGAGGGAATGCAACCTCCGTGATAATACTGAATGTACAAGACACATTTATAAAACAATATTATCGTACCATCAACCTTCGCCAGCAAAAATTTTAATCCGACAGTGGCCAGAGTAAAGTGAAAGGCAAGAAGGCCTGGAGGAACGGAGACGGTGGGCGGGAAAAGTGAGGATGGACTAACCGAAAACGGGTAATTCGGGCAAAATTTTGATGAAAATTTGGATATTTCACCGGGAATGCATATTAAGATACAATTTAGAAATAGTAAAACACAGTAAAGAATGCAAAAAACAAATCTTTGCAGGAAAAAGAAGAACCAAAATCATGGTACAATTCAAAGGGGACGGGCTAAATACGACGAGGAAATGAAGAACAAAGAATGGCACGGGGAAATTCTCAACCATTCTGATTATCGACTTGATCCAGCTGAAGCTTTTTGCCGTAGGAATTTCTGTTCAAAAAAT